TGCTTGGAGTTCTTCGCCCAAATTTTTTTACAAGTATATATTTACTATTACACAGAATGATGGACCTCGCTTAGAGTTCTTCGCCCAAGATCTTTTACTGATATATTGATATTAATACAGAATGATTGAGCTTGCGTGGAGTTCTTCGCTCAAAATTTTTTACTAGTAATGAATATCAATATACAGGTAGAAAGATATTGTTCACCCAAAAATTGTTATCAGTATAATACACATAAGTAGAAAAATATATATACTGGATAAAGATTACGCGCAAAATTATTTATGCAGTACAGTCTGACTTTTTATGATAATTACTAACATGTGTCTGAGTAAACTGCGACTTCCGAAGTTTCGCAATCTACAGTTGAGGTCGAGGCCCAAAATGCCTGTACTTTTTTAAGCGGGGGTTTGCCAACGGATTATCTTTAAAATGCCAAACAACAATCAACAAATTGACTTATTGATGATAAAGTGAAGTCATAACATTGTCTAAGTGTTGTAAGTCCACGAGCCTCAGCTAACAGGGATAATAAATCACGATAAAGACAATCATTTATTTTTCCGTGTTCGGGAACTTCTGCCAACGTAGCAGGCGCCGATAATCATCTTATTACAGGCCGCGCGCCCTCGAGATTTTTCGTTCGCCCTCAAAAAAACCTGGCGCCTGCCCAGTACGCAGAATAGGAATCTTCCAGTTAACGTGTTTATATATTCATTTAAATCACCAGATGCATCGTTCAAAACACAGAGATGGAGTTAACTGCAGCAGGGCAAAGTGCGGCTAGTTTATGGGATCAGGATCTAACAGACATCTTAAGCATTCTGGGCGATGAAAACAATCCCATCTCTTTCAACTTATCAGAGAACGATCTGCTCAGTATCCTTGATGGAGGCGATGGCCAGCTGCTACCTGCAACCTCACAATCCACTGGTGAACAGGAGATAAGCACTCTACAAGATGCCACGATAATTCACAACACACCCTCTGATCAAACTAAAGTGCAAAATCAGCATGTCATGCAGTTTCAGAGAACCCTCAGTTTGGGAACCAAGATGGAATCGTATGACTCTGTGCTGCTCAAAAACGAGCAAGTGGGGATTGAACAAGCCTTTTTAGACAAAGATACAGGTACTGTCCAAAACGGTGGCACTGAGAATTCAACAGGAGCGACCCCGCGTGGTGTAAAACGCCCCGTAGATAATCAGTATGGAGAAGTAGAGAGTACTAGGAAAGAGACAACGGGGGGCAATACTCAGGCTAGGAAAAAGCTCAGAAATCCTGCTCAATCAACAAACAACTTATTTAGGATCCTTGGCTTGATCCTGCAAGCCTTTAAAAGTCCGCTGACAAGCGATCTCGAGGAACATTATATACGTGTGCTTAATAGAGCGCTTTTTGAGATCCGGAATGCCCATCAATTTTTGCAGCAATCGCAGGGTAACACTTAAATTTGAACTGCGTGTACTTACCCTACTGTTTCTCATAGAAGGAATCGCTCGTCTCGATTTTACAATAAATTATTTTCAATCGTAGCCATGTTGGATTTCACGCAAATTTTTTACAGTAGAGTCGAGAAGATCTCTAACAAGTGCAGCAAAACCTTGACTCAGGATTCTACCCTCAGACTGAGCTGTTTGATTCTGTGTAGTGTTATATGGGCTCAGATTTCATCGTTAACGTACGTGTCGTGTTGCGTTACATCTACAGTTGCGTTTCCGACAATTTGACAATTTGATAAAACAGAGTCAAATTGTCGTTGGTTATTTTAAATCTATGACCTTATTAAGCCTTTCCACAAGTTGCTCGAGATTTTCCAAAAGGTTTCCAGCAATTTCTCAAAAAGTTTCCCTAAAGTTCCTCAAAAAACCATCAAAAGTTGCCCAAAAGTTGCTCGTAAAAACAAAACCTTTTTTTGGTCTGATGCTAAAATATGCAAATTGTACAACAAAAGTAAGCATTTTTGTGCAATTTTGCGGCGTAACCAACGTTGCTAAATATAAACTTTGTCTTCCATTAAAACCAAAAAAATGTAATGAGCTAATAAAATTGTTGAATGACCTTCTTCGTCCACCATTTTGAATTTTCTCTAAAAACCGCTGCCCATGATCTGCCCCAGGGGGGAGGATTGGGCTCCCTTTTTTACAGGAAATTCATAAATTGTCTACTGAGACATTGTGAAATATGAGAGAAAGGTCAATTTAAGTACTAAAAGCCGTTTCGATATGTCAGAATTAGAAGATAACTAGAGAAATTTCTTCAGCATGCAAAAAATTGCTCGAAACAAAAAAAGTTGCTAGAAATACGAGAAGTTGCCAAAAAGTTACCGAGCAACAACAACAACAACATAAGCTTTATTTGCATGACTATAATAATGTAGTTACAGTATTGCAAAAGCTTTAACATAAAGTTACAATTTATGACAATGATAATGCAATGCAATGATTACTACAGTCAATCAAGTGTCATTAGCATGATTTGATAACAAATTAGTGGGTAAATCATCACATAATTTCAACAAATGTGATTTTACGGAAAAATTCTGTGAATTCATAAATTTAATCATCAATTCTGTGTAGGATAGCTGATTAAAGTCGACAAAATTTTGTTGGATTTGATTGTAGAATTTCTCCCTTGGGATTGAATATTTTGGACAATGGAAGAGAAAATGAAATTCGTCTTCAATTATACCAGAGTTACAAAAAGGGCAGAATCTATCGTTGCGCGAAGTTTGATTATATCTTCCAGTTTTAATCATGAGTTTGTGGTTACTTATACGAACTTTCACTAAGTCTTTCCTATTGACTGAATTTCTAATTAAGTCTAGATAACTTGAAATTTTATAATCATGTTTAAATAAGCTGTAAAATTGCAGTTTCTTAGAATGATGGATTATATGTTGCAACTTGTGGAAAGCTCCAGAGCTTATTATCCTGTCTTGACCTGCACAGTCACAAGTAAAACAAATCTTGATAGCATGAAAGTGCGACACTACAGTAATAAGAAGTATTGGCCTTTTAAATATCTAGTCACAGGCGAAAAGGGAGGGGGAGGGGGAGAGGAGGAGGGAAGACGAGGGAGAGAGGAGGGGGACAAAAAGCCTGCAAAGCCTGCAAAGCCTGCAAAGGCAGAATTAATGAAGAAATAGGATACCGGTATACATATCATAGTATTTTATTACATTGTTAGTTATTATTAGAAATAGTAATTTTAAGTTGTTATTTATATATCAAGAACATGTATACCATTAGTTTTAGTTGTATTATATATACATATTGTAAATTAATTCTGAAAAGCCCCTCGGGGAGAATTAATAAAATTATTGCATTGTATTGTACTCTGTGCACAGTCTTCATTGTACAAATAGTATCAGTAACATTTATTTTCCTTATTTGTAAAAAATCTCTGAATTGTACATGTTGTAGCATTATGCAGACCGACTAGAAACGCTAATCGTATTAAGAAAAACTATGTAAAGAACTTCTGCTGGTGTATTGTGTATACTATTGAAAAAACAAATCAAGTTATTATTGGACATCATAAGAAGATATCCACTAACGAGTTGTTCAGTATATGAAGTATCCTTAATAAATATTGATTAAGGTTGTGTAAATTGCATGTTCTTGCAATATAATTAAAATCTTCTTTTACAGTTTGTAAATAGATCGTAAGTAAAAAGACTTGGAAACCTCCTCGCTTTTCTCGTGGAAATTATCTGGAGCCACTGAAGAACTTACTGAATTTCTATCCTTTCTCCGCCTAAACAAGCGACCATGCTAATTTGTGAAGGACGACTATATTTGTATTGCACTAATTATGCATTTAGTAATAACGATTGTTGTTGTTGTTGATTGGAGGATGAATCTTTTAAATGAGGTTGAGGTTTACCTCACGATTGTCAGAAGATATTTCCCGGCCCACCCATTATAAGACAAATTTAAAGCAAGAGGCACATATACACCAACCCACGGCCTGGTCAGTACCTCACGCACGCGCACAGCCATATCATCCCGGGCAATGGCAGTCATGGACAGCTGTTTCGCCCTTATTGGGCTCATCAGTATGGCATAGCCGTAATAGTACTCAGCCTGTCAAGAATTAAAATGTCGAAAATTCAAGTTAACCGGCAGTGAAGGCAGAGTGCGTGTAACCTGCGAGGCAGGCCTTTGAAAGGAAAAGGGAAGGAGATTCCGGGCGCGCGAGAAGCGCGAAAGGAGCGTAAGCTAAGGTAAAGGAACCTCCCCTCCTCAAGGTCAAGCGTACCCCTCAAGATTCTATTAATGGATTGATTATTTAAAAAATGAATCTGTGAAATTGATGTTTACACGGAACAATTCGCAACGACTATTTCTAGCGTTCAGATGTTGAAACAATATTTCAGCCATTCGAAACAATGTAACAACAATGTTGTAACGCTGTGTTTTTGCTAGTGTCAAATTCAAATCGACATTCCTGTATGCGTAATAAGCAGTGAATATTTTATGAGAATTTCTCTGTATTTGGTCAGATTGAAAACCTTTGAATGAATTTACATCAAATTCAGGGAAACTTAGCTGGAACAAATTTCATAACTGCCCTCGTATGAATTCACCGCTCAATACGCAGGGGCACCCAACGAGAATATAGTTCAAAAGCACTTAAACATAGCATTGTTAAACTTATTTTAGTATTTAAACGGTAGATAAAGGCATATTTTTATTCCCTAAAAATTTTTCATCTGTTCGGATTTCCTAGCTGAAAGTCTAGTGATCCGAATATTATAGGGATCAAAACTTACCTTTTCGAAAATTTCAGCCAGAAAAAAGGCTTCCGAAAATTCTAGGTGACCTTTTTAGGGTAAAAATCCGTTAAAACTATGCAATTATACCACTTTTTAGATGTTCGAAAATTCTAGGAGAGGCAGGCAAGCAAGAAATTTTACAACAAATGCTCCGAAAATTCTAGATCTCAAATCGTCCTTCGAACAGATATTTTTCCGAAAATTGTCGTTGGGTGCCCCTGTGTAAATATAGCTAACACGTACGTGCTAAGTCTGTTTTATACGGAGGAAGGTTTCAGTCAAGGTGAAGTAGACCACCTATTTAGCGCCTTAGTTTTAGCGAATTTCACTTGTGGTCTGCCTGTTTATGGCGCTGTAGACTCAGATCTCACGGTCATATGTGACAGGGTCACTAGACCTAGAATTTCACTACTTTTCGTTATATCAAGAAATATATTACTTTTCTATTATTTTGCTCCTAATATTTTTGCGCTTAGGAATTTCCCGGTTTGATTTAGCAAGCTTGTGTATCGCTTAGGAATGATTGTACGTGTGCCCACAAACCCACATATTATTGCCTAAATGCCGTAGCGGATATTAGCTTTTCGTGGTTTTTCTTTTCGGTAGATTATTTTAATCATTTAATTGACCTTATATTTTTATGTTAGCAGGATTAACCTAGGGAAATCCTGGTGTTCTGTTTTACTGTGGTTTGGCAACACACCTTTTACTGTTTTGCCGCGTGCAAAATTATTTAACACTTTGGTATAAGTAGAGGCACGTTTTAGCCTTAATTCAGTTGAGTTTGGACATCACTGAAGAAACTACAGCAGCTGTAAAGTTAACAAGCGAACTTGCTTCTAGCAAGGTACGATAGTTTGGTTTGTTTCAGGGGCACCCAACGTCAATTTTCGGGAAAATATCTGTTCGGAAGACGATTTGAGATGTAGAATTTTCGGGACATTTGTTGTAAAATTTCTTGCTTCCCTGCCTCTCCTAGGATTTTCGAACAGCTATAAAATGGTATAATTGCCCATTTTTCACGGATTTTTACCCTAAAAAGGTCACCTAGAATTTTCGGGAGTCTTTTTTCTGGCTGAAATTTTCGAAAAGGAAAATTTTGATCCCTGTAAATTTCGGATCACTAGACTTTCAGCTAGGAAAGCCGAACAGATCAAAAATTTTTAGGGGATAAAAATATGCCTATATCTACCGTTTAAATACTAAAATACGTTTAAGAATGCTTTGTTTAAGTGGTTTTGAACTATATACTCGTTGGGTGCCCCTGTTGTTTGTCATTTAGATTAAGTACTTGACCTCGTTAATTACCGAATAATTTAGTCTTAGCTTAGTCTTTTCTTAGTTATAATTCTGTTTAGTGATTTAAGTAATTCTATACAACTTTTTTTTATTCGTTATAATTTCGCTATTCCAATTGCAATCAGTAGGAACTAGGCCAGTTTGGTCTGTTATTCATTCGCTTTATTTTTGTAATCGGAGACGCATATTCTTCGTAGCGTCGCTAAATTTTCTTCGCGTATTATTACACACCTTCTGTAGTAAATTCATTTTGTTTATTGCAAATCTCTCTTTCTGTTTACAACTGTTAATTGGCTAGTTTTGTTCTTCTATTATATACACCTAATTGCAATAACGTTGTCATAGAAAAAAGCAAAAAGCAAAAAGCCAAATAGGAATTAATTAGCCATGTGATTTACATTTGCGTATTTTAATAATATAACAATTATTTAAGAAGTCAGTCACAATAACAAGAAATAATTCTGTAATTCCGCGCTGTAAGATTCCGCAGATGAAACACTGATGTGTTTAACAAAAGGGTCCTGACAAACGAAGCTTAGTTTGTGGCGCGGGAGAGGGACTGGCTGAGGAACGTCTCACCCTCTCCGCGATGGAAAGTCCTGCGTACGCCCCTGATTTGTTGCTTGAAAATTGTGATCTGATGGTGTGGTGCACTACAAACCATACGCAGACTGGCTTTTCTATTTAGCATTAAACGAAAAGACGCGTCGCGTTCCTGGAATTTACCCTAGGCTATATTTATTGAAAAAAAAAATGGAGCCATTTTTTCTTTAGTAGTTATCCGATGTACGTTTGTAATTAGAGCACGTTTGAAATCTGCTAGATGAATCAGCCTCGAATTGCATTAGAATGACACCAAGAAACTGATGCAAATGATTTCTCTCATGTTACGTGATTAATATTCAGCTATAAGCGTGTGTGTTGGGAATGTTGCAAGCAATGATAATGAAATGCTAATTAATTCCTATTTGGCTTTTTGCCTTTTGCTTTTTGCTTTTTGCTTTTTTCTATGACAACCTTATTGCAAATAGGTGTATCCTAGTCTTTTGAATTAGTTTTTCTTTGTTTTAATTACACATAGGTCGTGCTCTTAGGTCAAGAATTATGCACCTATCAATGGTTTGCCCCAGGATGGGGGGGCCGGGCAACCCACGGGAAATTTGACATTTTCAGGTTTTCAAATGTCAATTTCCCCACCCTTGGGTCTCCATTGTAAGTCAAATTCCCACCCCTGGGAACCACTGACCTTCATAGTAAGTTCAACGGAATGATAGGCACTCACATCAAGTTTATTGCAGCACACCTCCAGACACAACACTGATTTGAACAAACAACGATTAAACAAGATCCTCTCAAAACAATCCAAATTGTATTTCTGGTAGAAAAAATTTTTTTAGGGTAGAATTATTAAAAAATTGACAAAGAAAGTATCAAAAAATAAGATTATTTAATAAAGCACCACTTGTCATTGTTTGGTGAGATTTGGCACAGGTTTCGGGATTCACGCCTGGAATAGGTTGTATTACGCTTTCATCCAACTGATGTTTGTAACTGAGGTCCACAATTGACCAGAATATCATTTAATTTAACATTTGGAGTATACTAGCAAATCTATAAACACAGAGAGTATCGAAAACTTGAGGCAGGGCGGCATCCTCTGAAGACAGGTAACTAGGAAGTAAATTTTGATCTAAATGAGCTCTTGTGCGAATATTTCTTCTCAAAGCTGAAGGAAAAATACTTTATGTTATTAGAACTTTAAAGACTGAGCACTGATGGGCATAAAAAACAACATTTTTGCTTTAAAAAAAGCAACACGATGCTCCTTACCTTTAGTTCAGCCATCCTTAGACGCGGGAAACTCGTTCAAATGGACGGATCACTCACTCATTCCCAGGTCCTCTCCACTTGTCAAGATGGCGGTCGAGTCAAATTTCCCACCCTGGGACCGTTGTGGATGTCAAAATCCCCACCCACGTGCGCTTTACGAAGTCTAATTCCCGTGGGTTGCCCGGCCCCCCCATCCTGGGGCAAACCATTGATAGGTGCATTATCTGTTCGCAAATTAGTTCTTTTCCGTTCCACTTAATTACTTTTGTTTCGTTCTCACCTTGTATCGTGAATGTAGAATCCCGTTGTTTATCATGTTATAGCCGTTGGATACCATTTCACACTGCATTTCAGGATTTGCCATTACATTAACGCAATTAACCCTGACGTTTGTCGCTTGTGCTACTCGCGTCAACTATACGGTTCTCAAATTTAATTTGCATGACACTATACGTCACTTCCGTTCTATTTTTGTCTTCAAAATATCGCTTTTCTGTGGTTTATTTTTATCTTTTTCTGGTGTTAGTTTCAGCATATTTGGTAGTTGTTTACACTTTAAACTACAGATCATTGTGTTCTATTTGCAAGAGAATATCTTCGTTTTCTTTTTGTGAATTCTACAATAACTTAGTTTACAGTTTAGAATATGTTTTCCTGGTTTTCGATATTCTTCTGTAGTCCTTAGTCAATTGCATTGTATTCTGCATCATTTTGTTGCACGCAAACATTTAGTTTACTTTGTATTCTTTTGGTAGGTCTAATCTTTCAGTAGTTCCCGTTTATTTTATTTTGTTTTATTTTATCTTCGCTTTTTTTTCAAATAAATTGTTTTGGAAAATCCTTGAATCCTTCTCGTTCCTGCCGCTGACCGCCCCATCCTGTTACACATACAAAACATTCTGGATAAATGCTTTAAAAGGAAATGCACATCTAAGAGAATGAACATTCGAGAACTTTTAGAAAAGGCAGATAAGAAGCTTTTCACGGGTACGTTCAGTGCCCCGGGGGGGGGGCACTTGGGTATTTTTTGGGTGGGTATGTGCCGCCCGGGATTCCAAATTGGCACCCCGTTCGAAATACAAATTCCCCTAAAATTGATACCCCGTTCTAGAAATGGGCCCTTTTTTTATACTCCTTTCTAGAAAGTTTGTAAATTTAAATAGCCCTGTTTTTTTAAAAAGATATTTCTTTATTTGTTCGACTTATACATCAAATAAATGCTTCTTCACAATCAGCAACAATTTCAAGCAGCACCCCGTTCTAGAAAACGCCTCTGAAAATGATACCCCGTTCTAAATCAGGAGCTTCCAAATCACGACCCCGTTGGGCGGCACATACGTATAGGTAATGTATGGGACTAACCCCCCCCCGGGGTTCAGTGGATCTCGATTGCACGGTTAGTAACATCATTCCGAAGAAGAAAGCCAAAAGTATCATCAAACAAAAGAGCTCATCGCCCGGAACTAAGGACTGATAGATTTAAGAATGTTTTTGTAAATAGGCTTATTTTTAGATACAATCTTTGATCTTTCTAATATTTGTATACAGTATGTGTTACGTCTTTTTAGACTTCCAACTGCTGATGTAACTTAATATATGTCTTTTTATCTTAATAGGAAGAATAAAAATTGATTGATTGATTGAATTTGACACTAGTAACACAGCGTTACAACACTGTTGTTACATTGTTTCGAATAGCTGAATATTCAGTTTCAACATTCGGAACCCTGTGCTGCGCTAAAAATCATCGTTGCGAATCGTCACGTGTAACATCACCTTAACGGATTCATTTTTTGAATAATCAACTCATTAATAGAATCTTGAGGGGTAGGCTTGACCTTGAGGAGGGGAGTTTCCTTTTCCTTTCCCTTGCGCGCCTTTCGCGCTTCTGTCCTTCCCTTTTCCTTTCAAAGGCCTGCGTCGTAGGATACACGCACTCTGACTTCACTGCCGGTTAACTTGAATTTTCGACATTTTAATTCTTGACAGGCTGAGTACTATTACGGCTATGCCATGCTGATGAGCCCCAATAAGGGCGAAACCGCTGTCCATGACTGCCACTGCCTGGGTGATATGGCTGTGCGCATGCGTGAGGTACTGGCCAGGCTGTGGGTTGGTGTATACAGTGTATGTGCCCCTTGCTTTAAATTTGTCTTATAATGGTGGGCCGGAAAATATCTTTTGACAATCGTGTAGTCAAAACCTCAACCTCATTTAAAAGATTCATCCTCCAATCAACAACAACAACAATCGTTATTACTAAATGCATAATTAGTGCAAGAAATATATACTCGTCCTCCACAAACTAGCATGGTCGCTTTTTTAGGCGGAGACAGGATAGAGATTCAGTTAGTTCTTCAATCCTCCAGATAATTTCCACGAGAAATGTGAGGAGGTTTTCAAGCTTCTTTACCTACGATCTTTTTACAAACTGTAAAAGAAGGCTTTAAAAATATTGCAAGAACATGAAATTTACACAACCTTAATATTTATTAAGGATACTTCATAAACTGAACAACCCGTTACTGGATATCTTCTTATGATGTCCAATAATAACCTGATTTTTTTTTTCAGTAGTATATACAATACACCAGCAAAAGTTCTTTATATAGTTTTTCTTAATACGATCAGCGTTTCTAATCGGTCCGCATAATGCTACAACATGTACAATTCACGGGATTTTGTACAAATAAGGAAAACAAATGTTACTGATACTATTTGTACAATGAAGACTGTGCATAGAGTAATTCATTTATGACACTTGTCAGTCATGAGAAATTGTCTGATTGTTACAATCTTACGTGTAACGAGGGAAACGTATCGAATTGAGGAGAAAGGGAAAAAGGGAGAGGGATTGGGGCGAGTAAGCTCTCTTCCTTTTTCCCTTTCGCGCTTTCCCCCTCCTCTCCCCCCTCCTCTTCCCTCTTCCTCTCCCCCTCCCCCTCCCTTTGCACCTGTGACTAGATATTTAAAAGGCCAATTTCTTGCTATTAATATTTGTTTTACTTGTGACTGCGCAGGTCAAGACAGGAAAATAAGGTCTAGGGCTTTCCACAAGTTGCTCGGCAACTTTTTGGCAACTTCTCGTATTTCGAGCAACTTTTTGCATTCTGAGCAATTTCTCTAGTTATCTTCTAATTCTGACATATCGAAACAGCTTTTAGTACTTAAATTGACCTTTATTAAACATTTCACAATGTCTTAGTAGACAATTTATGAATTTCCTGTAAAAAAGGGAGCCCAATCCTCCCCCCTGGGGCAGATCATGGCCAGCAGTTTTAAGAGAAAATTCAAAATGGTGGACGAAGATTCACACTCGACTGAGTGAAGAAGGTCATTCAACAATATTATTAGCTCATTACATTTTTCTGGTTTTAATTGAGGACAAAGTTATTTAGCAACGTTGGTTACGCCGCAAAATTGCACAAAAATGCTTACTTTTGTTGTACAATTTGCATATTTTAGCATCAGACCAAAAAAAGGTTTTGTTTTTACGAGCAACTTTTGAGCAACTTTCTTTACACAAAGCAACTTTTGATGTTTTTTTGAGCAACTTTTGGGAAACTTTTTGAGAAATTGAGGGAAATTTTTTGGAAAATCTCGAGCCAGACTGGTGGAAAGCCTTAATAAGGTCAGAGATTTAAAATAACCAGCGACAATTTGACTCTGTTTTGTTAAAGACAAATAATCAGAATCTTATACTTACTTATATTTGACAAATTGTCAAATTGTCGGAAACGCAACTAACTGTACATGTAACGCAACACAACACGTACGTTAACGATGAAATCTGAGCCCATATAACACTACACAGAATCAAACAGCTCAGTCTGAGGGTAGAATCCTGAGTCAAGGTTTTGCTGCACTTGTTAGAGGTCTTCTCTACTGTAAAAAATTTGCGTGAAATCCAACATGGCTACGATTGAAAATAATTTATTGTAAAATTGAGACGAGCGATTCCTTCTATGAGAAACAGTGGGGTACGTACACGCAGTTCAAATTCAAGTGTTACCCTGAGATTGCTGCAAAAATTGATGGGCATTCCGGATCTCAAAAAGCGCTCTATTCAGCACACGTATATAATGTTCCTCGAGATCGCTTGTCAGCGGACTTTTAAAGGCTTGCAGGATCAAGCCAAGGATCCTAAATAAGTTATTTGTTGATTGAGTAGGATTTCTGAGCTTTTTCCTAACCTGAGTATTGCCCCCAGTTGTCTCTTTCCTAGTACTCTTTACTTCTCTATAGTGATTATCTAAGGGGCGTTTTACACCACGCGGGGTCGCTGCTGTTGAATTCTCAGTGCCATCGTAGCCTGCGTAGCAGGCGTCGAAAGGGGTAGGGGGTAGGGGATAGGGAGGAAGGGAAAAAGGGGAGGGGGATTGGGGAGAGGGGGAGGGGACGCCTGCTCTAAGAACCCCCTTTTGTTCATATCTGCGGACGCTGGCGTCCGCAAATTCCTGATTGGCTGAGCCGTAATGAGTAACATATTGAAATGCGCGTTTCACAAATCAAGAAACAGTCGAGATGGCAGCGGTAGACGTGGATGTCGTAGAGAGTGCTTTGAGAGATGTGAATTTATCTAGTGGTAGAGAAACTGTTTTAAAACCAGAGCAAGAATCAGCAGTAAGGGCTCTTTTAGCCGACAGAGATGTTCTGGCGGTTTTGCGGACCGGATACGGCAAGAGTTTAATTTACCAAATGTTTGTACGCGCGAAGAACTACGAGCTAAATGGTAATGCGGCGATTCTCGTCAGTTCGCCACTGAAAAGTATTATCGAAGGCCAGTTGCAGGAGATGGAATTGTTGGGCTACCCAGCGAAAGATTTAGCCAATTTATCAAGGTTCTGCAATTATACTGAGTAAATGTTATTTTAGCCGCATGTTTCACTCATCGATTGACTGTAGTTATTGTTTTCTGGTCGGCAGGATTTGGGGGATTTGCCCTCTGATGCAAGCGAAATTTCTTTGACCTCTTTTGAAGCGTAAAGCTTTTTTTATTACGGCTGAATAAGGGTTCCAATTTTCTCCAAAGTGCCTTCTGGATCTGAATAACTAAGCGAATTTCTTTAGTCCGTGAGTGTAATGCTTTTCTGCAATGGCTAGTGTAGCGACACTTGATTGACAGTAAGCGTAATCGGATTACTAGAAAATTGGTAGGCGTTATGCAAAAACATAGGCTCTTAGAGCAGGCGCTCCCTTCCCTTTTCCCTTTCTCCCTCCCCCCTCCCCCTCCCCTTTTTGCGCCTGCCACGCAGGCTATGCCATCGTTTTGGACAGTACCTGTATCTTTGCCTAAAAAGGCTTGTTCAATTCCCACTTGCTCGTTTTTGAGCAGCACAGAGTCATACGATTCCATCTTGGTTCCCAGACTGAGGGTTCTCTGAAACTGCATGACATGCTGATTTTGCACTTTAGTTTGATCAGAGGGTGTGTTGTGAATTATCGTGGCATCTTGCAGAGTGCTTATCTCCTGTTCGCCAGTGGATTGTGAAGTTGCAGGTAGCAGCTGGCCATCACCTCCATCAAGGATACTGAGCAGATCGTTCTCTGATAAGGTGGAAGAGATGGGGTTGTTTTCATCGCCCAGAATGCTTAAGATGTCTGTTAGATCCTGATCCCATAAACTAGCCGCACTTTGCCCTGCTGCAGTTAACTCCATCTCTGTGTTTTGAACGATGCATCTGGTGATTTAAATGAATATATAAACACGTTAACTGGAAGATTCCTATTCTGCGTACCGGGCAGGCGCCAGTTTTTTTTAGGGCGAACGAAAAATCTCGAGGGCGCGCGGCCTGTAATAAGATGATTATCGGCGCCTGCTACGTTGGCAGAAGTTCCCGAACACGGAAAAATAAATGTTTGTCTTTATCGTGATTTATTATCCCTGTTAGCTGAGGCTCGTGGACTCACAACACTTAGACAATGTTATGACTTCACTTTATCATCAATAAGTCAATTTGTTGATTGTTGTTTGGCATTTTAAGGATAATCCGTTGACAAACCCCCGCTTAAAAAACTACAGACATTTTGGGCGTCGACCTCAACTGTAGATTGCGAAACTTCGGAAGTCGCAGTTTACTCAGGGCGCTTTCCATTTAGTCAAAATTTCCGGAATTTCCGGTTCGGCGGTAAATGGAACACGTTTCGTCGGTTCGTCCCACTGGAAAATTCCCAGAAAAAGTGGAAAATCTAAAAAGGTGGTCCCGTTTTCCCGGTTGGAATTTCCGAACGGAATGTCGTGTTCCATTAATTGTTCCATTGACGTTTCTTGTAGTTTGTACCAGTTCCAGGTCCACGGTCGGGCACCCGGCCACGTACCGGAGTTTACGACCAAATGGAACAACTTTTTACCAATCGGAAATTCCACTTTTGCTACCACCGAAATTTCCGGGTTTTTTTCGTAAATGGAAAGCGCCCTCAGACACATGTATCGACATGTACTAACGGCGGGAATTAATCTATTATTACATAGAGTGATTGAGCTCGAGTTACGCTCCTCGCCCAATTTTTTTTAAATAGTATATATATCTATAGTGTTTTACAGAATCATTGCTTTCGCGTAGAGTTCTTCGCCCAAATTTTTTTACAGGTATATGTGTTATTTTCAAATACGATAATGTTTTTACTGAGTAAAGTTGTTCGCATAAATTTATTTATACGGTACTGTCTGACTTTTTCGCGAAACTCGCACAAGTGTATATACCGTTGAAATTTCCCCCGCGAAAATAATTTTCTGCTATAAATTAATTATTGAATCAGAATTTTCGGATGCAGAGAGGACAGGTTTACCAACATAATTGTTTTTCGACTAAAAGCAATAGTAATAAGATTCGTGAATCCCTTCGCAGCAAAAAGACCTGCATGTCGTCGTACAATTTTAATCAATGCTTGATACCTTCAGAACTTTTCCTGAAATACCTAGCCTCACCTTGATTTAGGCTCATTTCCATGCATCTTTGTCCTTCTAGTTTCGTTATTCATAGTCTGTAACTTCAGATTTGTACAACGCGGGAGCACACAATCCGGTCTCGTACATGGGACGTGCACGGTAGGCTGGCTTATCGTAGCAGGGGAATCCCGAGGGAATCGTGGTGGCATGTTCTTTCTATTTGTCGCGGAAAAGATATTTCCTAGAAAATCAAACTGTTTTGAGATTAGATTTACTGTACTAAGAACGCAATTAGAATATGTTTTAAATGCTAACATCGCCTGTTATAGGAAGTAGTGCACTTGATTGTGGGCTATGGAAAGATCCATTCTATCTTCCTTTTACTTCTAGTTACAACCAAACTAACCAAACCGACATCAAATTAACAAAAAACTCATGAGGGGATTTATTACCCTTTGAATGGACCTTTAATCAGTTTGTTCCCAATTTAATTTTGATGCCGAGGAGACTGAATACTGCAAATTAATAGCTTTAAAAACTTTAAGCTGATATCAGAAAACTGATGAGTAAAAAGCTGCAAAGGCAGTTTAAGCAGTTTACAAACTTACCTAGCTCTATGGCGTCCTCTTTCTCCGATAGTGTGCACGAGCTCAAAACAAAATTTCCCGTAATTGAAGAAACTCCAGTTTTTAAGTACAAGTTTATTTTTCTAGCATTTTCGCACGACAAAGAAATTTTTATTTTGTTACTTAACATGTTTATTTAACCTTCAGATCTTTTCTTGCCCGACTAACCAAGAGAGGGCGAAGCTCTCTCTTGGATAGGCTCGATTACCAGCCATTGTTCGGGAATTGAGCCTTGCCCCTCCCCCAGCTGAGACAGGACTGAAACAGCAGCGGAAGTCGAGCCTATCTTTAGGACAACGTAATAGTTTAATCATCAACAATTTCTCTTTATCGTATTCAATATCTGTTACCTTCCATGGTTAATCTTTTTTACCTATACGATTGAAAATAAAATGCATATCTTAAAACAAGCCTCCTTCTATAGGGCCTGAAATCATTGTGGAGAAATATTAACTCAGGAACGTTGCGTGCATATAAGCTTATACCCGCTCATACCCACTCATACCCCCGTGCGTACATAAACAGCTAAAATATAGAAAAATAGATTTTTTGTTTCCTGAAAAAGCATGTTTATTATTTAATCGGGATGACTGATACATTTTTGATACATTTAGTATTCCTTTAACCTTTTATTATTCCATAATTATGATGGCGTCACTGGTCTTCTTTCCCCATAAACACTGTTCCTTACCGACAACCCTAGAGATGGGTGAACTAAACAATTACAGACTGCTGCATCATTTCAAAAGTTCAGACCTCCCAGGTTGAGCCGCCTTTGGCGCTACAACTTTTCTTAACTCTTCCCCGCGTGCGTACATCTTCAAAATCTCACGCTACGCCACTGTCACTTCGACTGAAATGGCTGACTTGAGCTACTAAAACATGGCCGCAATCTGCAATAGAATCTGACTTCGAAACTGAGCTTCAGAGTCTTAAATCTGCGGATGAGGACCCCCTTACAGGAGAGCGTGACATCCGTCTCAAGTTACGTCTCAAGGAACTGTAGCTCCATTCCTGATATAAAGAAATTTACACTTGTTTAAAATGAATTTGAACAAGTGTTTTCTTGAAACTGACAGAGGCTCTCTATTCTTGCGGTTCTTTTCTTTTTTACATAGGCTGTTTAGATAATGTAATTGTTAGACGGGTTTGAGTATAGGGGAATTTCATTCTCTCTCCCAGCCCCTACCCCGTCACTTTTTTTGATCCCGTCCTCTCCAAATGAACGCTTGGAACAGGCTGTTGCAGCTAGGACAAACACAAAAAGGTTGCCCTTTGCGTGGTTGTAACCGGACAAAGGAAGTTGTTGGTAGCTTGTAACCACTATTACGAGGAAATGAGGAGATTATAAGGAAATAGGGATCAGAAGGCCACTTGACTCAACTCCAGGTCAAGCGTACCCCACGCGAGGCAGTTATGAAATTTCTTCCCGCTCAGTTTCCCGGAATTTGATGTAAACTCATTCAAAGATTTTCAATCTGACCAAATACAGAGAAATTCTCGGAAAAATATTCACTGCTCATTACGCATGCAAGAATGTCGATTTGAATTTGACACCAGCAACACAGCGTTACAACATTGTTGTTACATTGTTTCGAATTGCGTCAATATTGTTCCAACATTTGAACCCTGTGCTGCGCTAAAAATCGTCGTCGCGTATCGTCCCGTGTAACATTACCTTAATGGATTCATTTTTAAATAATCAATTCATTAATAGAATCTTGAGGGGTACGCTTGACCTTGAGTAGGGGATGTTCCTTTTCCTTTCCCTTGCGCGCCAGTTCGCGCTTCTCGCGCGTCCGGAATCTCCTTCCCTTTTCCTTTCAAAGGCCTGCCTCGCAGGCTACACGCACTCTGCCTTCACTGCTGGTTAACTTGAATTTTCGATATTTTAATTCTTGACAGGCTGAGTACTATTACGGCTATGCCATGCTGATGAGCCCCAATAAGGGCGAAACAGCTGTCCATGACTGCCATTGCCCGGGTGATATGGCTGTGCGCATACGTGAGGTACTGGCCAGGGCCGTGAGTTGGTGTATATGTGCCCCTTGCCTTAAGTTTGTCTTATAATGGGTGGGCCGCAAAATATCTTCTGACAATCGTGTAGTCAAAACCTCAACCTCATTTAAAAGATTCATCCTCTAATCAACAACAACTACAATCGTTATTACTAAATGCATAATTAGCACAAGACATATACTCGTCCTCCATAACCTAGGCGTAAACAGGATAGAGATTCAGTAAGAGTTCTTCAGTCCTCCAGATAATTTTCACAGGAAAAGTGAGGAGGACTTTCCAAGCTTATTTACTTACGATCTATTTACAAACTGTAAAAGAAGGCTTTGAAA